AATCAGATTATGTCAGAGGCAGTCCCTCTTCCCATTACTATGTAACCCACTTTGACATTGAACTGCCATGGGCTACATCTGTGCAGGGGTTCTAGGTTATCTCCATGAATAGTCCTTGGTTGGAGTATGAGTCTCTGGGAAGTTCCCTGTGTTCAAATTTTCTTGCTCTCCTTGTGGAGTTCCTGTCCTCTCCAGCTCTTACTATTTCCCACTTCTTACTAACTCTTATGTCTCCCAATGACTTTTTATAATTAATTATATCAACCTACTGAGTTCATCTAACGTTTCTCTTGTATGTATTTGGATGAACACTTGGGATTGGATAACCTTTAAGTCTCACATGTGGAGAAAACAGATTCTCCCTGTTTCAGTAACCATTGATTGCCTATAGCTCTTCATGTAAGGTAGGGGCTTTATGAAATTTCTCCTGCCTGTTTTGGCCTGTCAACTGGTAGTGTCATTCTATTAGTCTTGTTTAGACAACAATATTGTTGAGATTGTTTTCAATGCAGCGTCCCTGCAGTGTCTAACAGACACTCCCTAGCATTAGTGTCTGCCTGCTCTGACAGTCTGCCCCTGCCTTCTGTGATTTCCTCTGACTCTGAGGTATAAGGGTTGTGTTGTAAGTATACTACCTGGGACTGGGCGCCCCGCAGTCAGTTATTTGTTGCATTTTAACCACTGTGGGTCTCTGCAGTAGCCGCCATCTACTGCAAAAGATTTCTTTTTAATGTAAGGCAAGCGCTCTGCTCTCTGTGAGTAAAGCTTGGACGGGTATTTAGGAGACAGTTAGAAATTATGTTGTTTTAGTAAAATGGCAGCAGCGGGTTCTCCTAGGGTGGGTGGCTGCTAGCTACAGACAGTTGTGCAGGTTTACAGTGCTAGGCATGAGTTCCCACCTATCGATGGGCCTTCAATCCAATCAGACATCTGCTGCTTACCCCATGATAGAAGTGCCACTATTGTACCATGACTTGCTGGGCTCATCTTTACTGTGGTTTGTGGGCTTTACAGTTGGGTAAGGCTATTGATTGCTTTTATCCCATGGCGGCTTCCATAATACCTTCTTATACTCTAAAAGGTAGCCATTCTACTCTGACTATACCTGATCTCTGAGATATATATGTGCGTGTGTGTATATATATACAAATATATAAATATAAATATTATATTTAATTGTTTTATTTTATATTTATTATATTTATATTTAGGCATTATATATTAATTATTCACTAATATTAATGATTATATTATTGATTTATTTATCATATTTAACTATTTTAATTATATATAAATGAAAATAAATTTGTATGTAAATTATAGTCATATATACATGCTTATATATGTTTATATATACGTATATATAGAGAAAGAGAGAGGAAGAGCATGAGTGAGTGAGAGAGTTTAGAGAATTTTTTTCCCCAGTGTTGGTCCCTTAGAATCCTGTTGTTAAGTGTAACTATAAAGTTACTATAGAATGGCTGGGATCACAGCATTTTCTTTTATAAACCCAGACGTTCTTTGTTTTTCTAGTCCCTTCATAGGTAACATGACAGTAATTTTGCCAGTCTCATCTTTCAGCATTTCAGTGCTAGCGATTGAACATAGCCTTGTGGCTATGACACAAGTGTTCAACCACTGAATCACTTTCTTAGCCCGAATGTCCCATTCATAAGAGAATAACAGTACAGACTTTGACTAGTAACAGTATTCTTTTATTTAACCTATGTGAAGAAAATAATTCATCTACATATATACTATAAAAGAGCGTTTTAAAAAATACTTTTCTATAGAATAGTATTTTGGAAATGTAGAAGATTGTACGGAAAGCCCTCTTAGTTAAATACAAAGCAGTTATTTGCAAGCACAGAAGTGGAACGCCAGCTGTGACGTTACATATGTATAGTGCCTACCCTCAGGTCACTGAGGACAGTCGGAGTGTGAGACCAGCCTGGATTGCCTCGTCCAGTAGTTCTCATCCTGAGGGTCACGTGACGTTCCTTTGGGAGTCAAATGATTCTTTCACGGGGTCCCCTAAGACTATCAGAAAACATAGATATTTATATTAGAACTCACAACAGGAGCAAAATTACAGTTATGAAATAGCAATGAGACTAATTTTCTGTTGAGGTAAGTCACTACATCATTTAAGGAACTGTGTTAAAGGGTTGCTGCATTAGGAAGGTTGAGAACCATTCTAAAGCAAAAATAAACAAAGCAGAGGTGGTAATATAAAACAAAGTTATTTTGGCTTTTAAGACCACCTCATGAGTGAAGCGCTTGCTTCACCTAACCTCCAAGTTAGGGCATAAGTAAACCTATTATTACAAACTGAAATCTGCAAGTGAAAGATACTAGTAAAAACATAATGTGTATTTGCAAAAGAGTTCACAAGTTCATGGATCTATACCCAGGCCCCTTTACCCCCTGTACAGGTGAAACAGCAGGGAATTTACTTTTGTTTCCACTTTGCTCGTGATCATAGTGCATTTCATAATGAGTAGGAAAGAAAGCTACTAACAAGGGTTTTCTTCTAGAGCACTAGGAGTGTTCTTGTAAAGGTATCGGTCTACGAGAATGAAAGAATAATCTCAATCTCCAGGCATTTTGTGTTTCATATTCTCCAGATAGCAGCATTTCGTTTCTATTTTGGAAGCAGTGTACACTGAAAGGTGATATATTATTGTAAGTTACTGGCAGGAAAACATTGGCATATGGTCTGACGGTGTCAGGGTGAGTTCTTGAACTTGCACGGTTGATCCTGCGTGGACACACAACAGTCTGTCTCTTGTCCTTTGAGAGTGCTTCCTGGAATGTTGAAAGGACTATGGTTGTCTCTCATTTTACTTGGCCTCATGTATGCTCAGTATTTCATTCTCTTTGCTTTGCATTCTTGGCACAGTTCAGTGGACCAGGAGAGGAGAAGTTGAAACATGCTGCTGCTACATTCTGCAGTAACCAGCCTTTTGCCCTGGAGATGATCAAGTCTCGTCAGAAAAAGGATTCTCGATTCCAGACTTTTGTGCAAGTGAGTTGAGCAAGTTATATGACAAAAAAAAAAAAAAAAAAAAAAAAAAAAGAGCCACCAGTTTGGTATTAATTATGGAGTAAATGTGAGGAATTCTGACTTAAAATGCTCCTTTGTGTTAACATTAATTTTTCCCTTCATTTATGTTTTATGAGTGTGGTTGTTTTGCCTGTATATATATGACTGTGTATACATGCACAGTTCTGGGAGGCCATTGAATTTCCTGTAGCTGGAGCCAATGCCACATGAATGCTGGAAATAGAACCGGGGTCCTCTAGAAGAGCAGCCAGTGCTCTTAACCACTGAACGTCTCTCCACCCCTACCCAATATGTCAACATTTTAAGTGCTTTACATTGCCTCCTAAATTACTGAAAGGAATAGAGATGATTTTGGAATGATGAATAATAAAATATATATATATGAAGATTGAACTATTTGACATGGATATACACATTGTAGTCTTAATCAGGAAAAAGCCATATTCAGTTTTTTTGTGGTTTCAGCAAGCATTCTTCAGTGAACTATCTGCCTGCCTCTTTTATATTATAGCTTTTTGTGTTAAGGACTTACGAATTGCCTAGGCTCCTATATATGACATGTTGGCCTTGAGTTTACAGCCTGTGCCATCAAACATGACTCATATTCATGTGTGAAAATCATATTGTTCAGGATTGAGGTTTTTTGTTTTTTGTTTTTTTTTTGGTCAGGTTCAGGAAGATTGTAATAGTATTGGGATAGCGATAGAAATAGATATGAGTCTGGAACTGTGACCACTAGGACTTCTCCATTCACCTGCCTGTTTTATAAATAGTTATTTGGACACCATGCATTTATTTCCTATTGTTGCATTGTTAGACGACAGTCACAGTTTTTGTGGTTTAAGAGTATGGCTACAGTTTAACAGGTTCTTCACCCTTAGAGTTTATCAAATGTAGGATAGAGTTGCAATCCTCATTTGAGGCTTGTTTAAACCAATGCTTGGTTGATATATAATATGTTTTTGGGGTTTTTTTTTTTGTTTTGTTTTGTTTTCTGTAACTGCAAAATGAGGTTCTGCTCGCTTGCTTGTTGTCGGCTAGGAACTACCTTCTCCTGGGACGCCCTGTCTTTCTTCTTGTGGCGTCTTAGGCAGTTGACAGATGGATTTTTGCTTTTTTTCCAAGACAGTAGGATTCCTTCTCTCTGGTCCAGATTTCTTTTTAAAGTTAGGGGCTGAGAGATGGCTCAGTGGTTAAGAGCACTTACTGCTCTTGCAAGGACTAGAGGGATCCTAGCCCCTCTCATCAAGTCGGGCCCACCTTCCCTTTTTTTTTATTATATCAAAATTAAGTGATAGCAAACTAATGATAGAACAGACTTTACCTACTCTGAAGGGGATGGAATCACATATATCAGAGAATGGGAATCTTGAAGGACAGCATAAAGGTTTATATTTTTGTTACATAAAACCAGGTTCATTCATCTGCCACTGCTCTTTGCTAAAACAGCAAATTCGAATAGTTGTGAGAAACACTGGCCCACAGAGTCTGAAATATTATGTATTGGCACACTGAAGCTTGTAGACCTCTGATATGTGTATGAGTTGGCCTATCTAGACTAGTGATCCATTGTATTTACTGGGAGCGGTGGGTAATATGTTAGTAAATGAGGTTTTTTTTGGTTGTTTTTTGTTTTTGTTTTTTTTTTTTTTTAATGTTTTTCAGACAGGGTTTCTTGGTAGCTTTGGCTGCCCTCAGTCTCACTCTGTAGACGAGGCTAGCTTGAAACTCACAGAGATCTACCTGCCTCTGCCTCCCGAGTGCTGGGATTAACACATTAAATGAGCTTTTGATAGGCATGCCAATCAGAAAAATGTGCCTACATTTCTGAAAAGCAGGTTAAAGCCATGTACTACAAAAGCGTTTTTCATAGTTGCTTCCAGCCCTTGTTTAAAGATAAGCAAAACCATGCTTAGGAGCCTCAGGCTGCTGCTGTGATGCCATAGGAGAGGAGAACAGAAGTAGGGTGGACAGTGCTTCTCCTTTCTCTTTAGAAATGTATGGTCTAATCATCAAGACCTCCGTTACAGTGGACCCTTGTGGTAAATACCTGATGTGTATTTTGTAATTATTTCTCCCACTGTGCATTGTGAGCTGACTTCCTGCACTCTAATTTTAGGATGCCGAGAGTAATCCCCTGTGTCGTCGTCTTCAGCTGAAGGACATCATTCCCACTCAGATGCAGAGGCTTACTAAATACCCACTTCTTCTGGATAACATTGCCAAATACACAGGTATACACTCTGGCTGAAACAAAAGCAGGGGACTGGAGAAAGCTCAGTGGTATGTGCTCTTGCCAGGACCAGAGTTAGGATCCCAGCAGCCACACTCAGCAGCTCTCAACCACTGTAACTCCAGCTCCATGTGAGCACCCACATGTATAGACTCTGGAACACATACTCCTTTTTTTTTTTTTTTTTTTAAGTTAAGAAGAAAAACCAAGAATATATCCTGCTAAAGAAGTAATTTTTCATAGCATCCAGATGCATAGAATTGAGTTCTGCCAGTTGTATGGCAGACGTTTTCTGACAAGACATAGTGCCGTCTTTAGCCTGTTTGAACTGTGTCCTCTATTAGTAAATTTAGACATAGAGTTTGGTGTACTGTGGCACAAGGGCCACATTAAGGTCACTGCCTGGTTTTTATTTCTTTTGCTTTTTATTTTTTTATTTTTTCATTTTTCGAGACAGGGTTACTCTGCATAGCACTGACTGTCCTGGAACTCACTCTGCATACCAGGCTGGCCTTGAACCTACAGAGGTCCACCTGCTTCTGCCTCCCGAGTGCTGGGATTAAAGGCGTGCCTCACCCTGCCCAGCAATTATTATTTTTTAAAGACAAAGTCTCACAGAGCCCAGGTTCATCTTGAACGGCATAAGTAGCTGAAGGTGGCCGTGAACTCCTGATTCTCCTGTTCGTAACTCCTGGGTCAGTGCTTCTTAAGCTGTGGGTCACAACCCCTTTGACAAACCTCAGTCTCCAAAAGATATTTATATTCTGATTCATAACAGTAGCAAAATTATAGTTATGAAGTAGTAACGAAAATAATTTTATGATTGGGGCTACCACAGCAGGAGGAACTGTATTAAAGAGTCTCAGCATGAGGAAGGTTGAGGACCTCTGTCCTGGGATTGTGGGCATGCGCCCCCACAGCTGCATCTCACTGCCTGTTTTTGTCCGTGAGCTTCTGTTAGAGCACAGCACATCCAATCCATGTGTTTGCATACTGTTTTTCAGAGCTTTTGCACTCAGCAGCAGAGTTGCATATTTGGAACAGAGGTCATTTGGCCTGCAAAGTATATAGTAATTGTCGTCTGACCCTGTGTGGGAAAAATTCACCCATGTTTGTTTTAGCGTATATCTTTGTTTTGAAAAAGATCAGAGAGATGTTTGAAAGTACTTTTCAGAAGCAGAACGAATGCACTATCATTCTAGCTTCCTCATCTTGAAATGATTTTTTTTAAAGATTTATTTATTTATTATGTATACAGTATTCTGCTTACACGCCAGAGGAGGGCACCAAATCACATGATAGGTGGCTGTGAGCCACCATGTGGTTGACTGGGAATTGAGCTCAGGACCTTTGGAAGAACAGCCAGTGCTCTTAACCTCTGAGCCACCTTTCCTTGAAATGCTTCTAAGTTTGATGCCTCTAACTCCCGTTTCTCCTGCTTGAGACTAGGAATGCATATTGGGGATCACAAACTATGATGCCTGGTAGAATGTGGCTTTACATTTTACTCATTGAGTTTTACTCTTAGTGTATGTGTTCGGTGGTGGTGTCGCACTGTTGGAAGATTATGGCTTTGACTCTAGTTGGCAGTTGCAGAGGCGAGAGGGTCCTGTTTGTACAGCTTACAGAGGCCTTCCTTGGGAGGGCATAACACTGGGGTGCTAACACACCATACAAGGCATCACTCTTCCATCTAGGGTTCTGTATTATAAGACCTTCTTTCAGTTTTCATTTCATTCAGAACTGAGATTGACTTGCATTTTGCCCTTGTTAGGCAAGAGCTCTATTAATAAGCCACATTGCCAGTCCCTTAAAAAATTATTTTAAGCTGGCCAGTGGTTGCATATGCCTTTAATCCCAGCACTCGGGAGGCAAGAGGCAGGCAGATCTCTTTGAGTTTGAGGCCAGCCTGGACTACAGATTGAGTTACAGGACAGCCAGTGCTATACAGAGAAACTTTGTCTTGAAAAACAAAACACAACAAAAAGTATTTTGTGACAGGTCTTAGCATGTAGTCAAGGCTAGCCTCAAGCTTGTGATCCCCTGCCTCAGTTTTGTAAGTAAGTGTGCACCTCCAAACTTGCCTCTGTGGGATTTTTTTTTTCTTTTTAATATGAGAATGTATGTTTCCAGTGAGGATAATCAGAAATCTCACCTGTTTAAAGACTACCCAAATAGAGACTGTGCCATTGGTTTCAACATAGTATAAAAATGTCGAAGGTAATCTTCATACCCAATGTATATACACTCATTTGAATAAAATAAAATCTTATGAGTGTGTACATTTTCTTTTTTTCTAATTTTCTCTATCTTCTGTATTTTCCCCATTTATAGAATGGCCTCCAGAAAAAGAAAAGGTGAAGAAGGCTGCAGATCATTGTCGTCAGATCTTAAATTATGTTAATCAGGCTGTCAGGGAGGCGGAAAACAAGCAGGTAAGAAGGCAAAGCAAGATACAGGCAGGCATTGGAGAAAATTAAGTTAGCATATCTGAAATAACAAAGTATCATTATACATTGACGAGCAGGACAGATGTTTGCTACTAGAATAGTAGCTGGGTCCAGGTTGTAGAGATGCATTTGACTTCTGAGGGTCTCTAGCTCTCTCTCTGTTCATTTGTTCCTGTTTACCCAGCAGGTGTTTGGGGAATACATGTGGATGTGGAGGACTAAGTGCATCACAAAGTGGAGTTTGTTTTGTAAAAGCAGGAGATTACTGTGCTCATGTCTCATGTATATGTTACAGAGGAGAGCTTCAGGTGCTGTGGATGTCTGATAGGGCCACTCCTAGTTTGGAAACATCAGGTGGTGGCTCTCAAAGAGTATTTGAAGAGTTGACACTTGAACCACATATGCTCTGAACAAAGAACAAAAATGAACCAAAAACAATGTAAAGACCAAGCTAAATGCAGAAGGGGCAATATGAGAAATTAAAAGATTAGGTGAAGCTGGGCACAGTGATGCACGTTTGTAATCCCAGCACTCAGGGAGGCAGAGGCAGGCAGATCTCTAATTTGAGGCCAGTCTGGTCTACAAAGCGAGTGTAGGACAGCCAGGGCTATACAGAAAAACCAGCTTGAAAAACAAACCCCAGCACCAGCATGGCAGCTCACAACTGTCTGTGACTCCAGTTCCAGAGGATCTGACACCCTCACACACTCATACAAGCAGGCAGAAAACCAATGTACATGCAATAGAAATAAATCATTAAAAAAAAAAAAAGATTAGATGAGGATTGAATCTTATAGTGCTTTTCCTGCCATCTTATAGTGCTTTTCCTACTTGAATTTGTTTGAAGAGCAGTAGGACCTTGTTACGGAAGGCATGAATCAAACTTCCTCGTGAAGAGTGGATTAAGGAAGAAGGTGGTGGTTAAGGGAGTCCAGGTGGCAGTGGGAGATCAGCAGTGGCAGTGTAGAGCAAGGCGGGAAGTGGAAAGGTACTTATGAGCACAGTCAGCAGAACTTGTTGACTGAGAGAAGGACGTGAAGGGAGATGATGTCAAGAAGAAACATTTAGGTTTCTGGCTTGCACATGTGGATAGAGAAGAGGCATGGAGAAGCCACAGGCTTGTGGTCAAATTCAGTTTGGAACAGCAGGTAGAGATGTCTAGTGAGCGGTTTCCGATTTGAACCCAACTCTAATTAGATAGTGCACATAGAGAGGCTCTTTGCTTTCGTGGACATGGTTGTCATTTCTTAGGAAATGAGTGTGACAGCTTTATTGGAGAGGCTTTAGAGAAACTATGCCACTCAAAAGTGTTGTTTGGAGTGCAAAATGATGAAGCCGCAGGAGGAAATTTGTCAGTGTCTATTAAATTAAAGGGCCTGTGCCTGAGCATATGTCCTGCTGCTCAGCAGTTCTGTTTGTAGTGACTTACTGAAGAGAAATGAGGATGTACAAGAGTTTTTATGGTAGCTTTATTCATGGTCGCCCCAAACAGGAAACAGCTCAAGAATTCGGCAGGAGAGTAGGTAAACCAATTGTGGTGTACTCATAGAGTATAACTTAAAAAATTACCAGGGATAGACAGGAATGGACTTAATTAACATGATAATGAGTGAGAGAAACCAGACAGGAAAGAACACATATGCATAATGTTGTTTGTGTGAACTTGTAAGATACTAATGTGGTTTCTGATAGGAAAATAAATAAGAAAAAGAAAAGAATTGCCACTTTGGATGTAGTGCATAGATAAACTGGGAAGATGTATGGAATCTTCCTGGGACCATACTCATACTCCATGTATTAATAGTAGATAGAGTTGTACAAATGTATTGTTTGTCAGAATATGTGAAAAATACACTTAAAATGCATGCATCTTACTGTGTGTAAAGCTTAAAAAAGGAACCAATGGGGCTGGAAGACTTAGCAGATGAAGGTACATGCTGCCAAGGCTGACAACTTGGTTCAGTCCCTAGCAGCCACCTGCTGGAAGGAGAGAGCTGACTCTCCCATAGGCTTTCTCCTGACTGCCACATGAGGCCCCTGCACTTATACATACATGTATTTAGAACCTTTTATGGTGAAGAAAAATGCTCAAACTCTTTGAAACAATAGTTTTTAGAAACTTATCATACAGGTGTACAACATACATGATTAGATAACCTACATACATATCTATACAGGGGTACAAGATATATGACAAAAGCCATTTTGTTATAATTTCATTTGTTATTGCTAAACATTGTAGGTAACCTCAATGTCCATTAGTAAGGTGTAATCATAACTGGGTCACAGAGTTTGAAGCTTGAATTCTGTGTGATTATTTAAGAAAACAGAAATCTCTCTGTGGTACTGTAAGGTAATCTCCGAGATATACTAATAAACCCTATACACAGAGAAAAAGGAATACGAATGTGTCATTGTTTGCCTCTCTCTTGCTCTGAAAAAACATCGACCAAAATGATCTCGGCGAGGAAAGGGTTTATTTGGCTTATATTCCCATACTATAGTCCAGGAGCCTGGAGGTAGGAACTGAAGCAGAGACCACAAAGGCAGCTTACTGACTAGCTGCCATGGCTTGATCAGCCTGCCTCTTACACGGACCCAGGATCCACCTGCCCAGGGGTGGCACTGCCTACAGTGGGCTGGACCCTCCCACAGCATTATTAATCAAAACAGTGTCCACAGACGTGGCCACAATCTATGGAGACATATTCTCAGTTGAGGTTCCCTCTTCCCAGATGTGTCAAGTTGACAAAACACAAACAAAAAAGCCAATAATTAGCATACTTTATGAACAGATAAGAGGAGTATGTACTGGGGTACTAAAGGAATGCCAATATTATGTTTCCACATCTTGTTTTGAAAGGCTGTATATATACACATAACACACACGGAGACACTCATATACATGTATGTTCTCTTTGCATAGGATTTTCTCAAGTCACCCCAGAATTGAACCTCACTAACTGCTTCTTTAGAGAAAATAGGAGGGCATCAGGAGTGGGATGAGAATGCTTTTTTTATTATGTACATTATAGTACCTTCTGCATTTTTGTACTGTGTACATGGTTTATATATTAAAAAAATAGGGTAAGCTAACTAAGTGGTCACCAAGTTTGAAAAGATATAGAAGGGACAGCTGGAGAGGAGGGGGAAACTAGGAAAGTGAGTATCACCAGTGATGAGGGAAAGGTATGCTAAGGAGGAGAAGGTTGTCTGCCATGTCTGGTACTACAGTGACTTCCATAAAATGCAGATTAAAAGTCTCTGTAATGTGGAAACAAGGTCCTTGATGCCCAAAGCCTTAACCTTGGTTTCATTCTGTTCTGTTTTGTTTTGTTTTCAGCGCTTAGAAGACTATCAGCGTCGCCTTGACACCTCCAATCTCAAGTTGTCCGAGTACCCAAATGTTGATGAGCTCAGGGTGAGAGATGGTCCAGTCATAATTAAAAACATAAAGGCAAATGTACTGGAGACTTGGTGTGCAATTAACATCTCAGTGGGAATAGCCATCCTTGAAGGAGCTCTGCCTTATAGATTGTCTGCATTTATGACTTCGTTCTGCTTGTTGGATGTTTGATACCGTTGATGTGTCAAGGGTACTTTAATGTTTGTCACAGGAGCATTTTGTGAGAAACTGTAACTATGAGGCAGGAATTGTTAGAGGACTTGAGAACACTAGTTACTGGAATATGTTAGTTTGCTCTGTATTTTTACTGTTTACTGCAAGAACTTTTCAGATCACTGAGTAAAAATAATTTTTCTATGACACTTTTGAAAAGCATAAGGGTTGAAACCAATACAGGAATAGATAAATATTTGCTTTAATATTAGTAACCTTTTTAGTATATTAAGTGTTTTTTTTTTTTAAATTACTGGTTCTCTGATGATTTTGGCAGATTTATTTAATATCTATTTAAAATAAACTTTTAGCTAGGTATGGTGGCACACTCTTTAAGCCCAGCACTTGGGGGGTAGGGACAGGAGGATCTTTGAGTTTGAGGCTAGTCTGGTCTACAGGGTAAGTTCCAGGATAGCTAGGGCTACACAGAGAAACCTTGTCTGAAAAAAAACCAAGATAGATAGATAGATAGATAGATAGATAGATAGATAGATAGATAGATAATAAAATAAACTTGTATGTCATAAAATAATTTTATCAAAAAGCATGCTTATGTATTTATTCCCTTACTTCCAAAGAATGAGAATTCCCCTTGAGATGCTAATGCTAAAACATGGCTCTTTTACTAATAAGTAATTTGCTGGCAGAGACGGTACTTGGCATTCTCATAACAAATGCTGTCCTTTAGAACTTTCTTTGGGAGGTTGGAGAAATGGTTCAGCAGGTAAGAGTGCTAGGGATTAGAGTTCTAGAACTCAAATGTCTTGTTCAGATGTGAACACAGCATTTATTTGGTTTATTGCAGCTAGGGTGTGAGGGTCTGTGGTGGCTCTTTGCAGTGCCATGCATGAGCTCATACTCATCCTGAAGGGGGTTTGGAGAGAATACTCATGAATACTTTTCTGTAAGATGCTTCTCTTTAAGAAGGCTTTGTGCAGGCTGTTTTAACATGGACAGCTCATTTTCAAGACAGGTAGCAATACTGTAGCTGAATATAAACGATACCTTTTATATAAAGACTTTTGAAAAGATGCTAGTTTTACTGTCTGTAGCCCCACTGATGAATTACTCTTGGAAGTAATTTGTGTATAATTCTTTTTACTTTGGCAGAATTTGGATTTAACAAAAAGAAAGATGATTCACGAAGGGCCGTTGGTTTGGAAGGTGAATAGAGATAAAAGCATTGGTAAGTCTAGTGTTCCTGTCAGTTGTGGAGAGGGCGGAGAGGACAGAATAGGAAAGTCCACCAGTGGGAAGCAGAGTCATTGTTGACAGTGAACTAGGAGAGCTCTTCTGCAGTATGTGGACACTGACAGGAGACTGCTTGTGTGTTTGTTGTGGTGAAGTGGAAAGCAGGTTACATACTCATTTTGGAATGCAGTGGAAAACTATCACAGGTCAGTCATGTTTCCGTCATCTGTCTACTGAATCTTTGAGTCTTCTGTAAGCTGGTAACTTTCAGGTTCTTGCAGTGAGGGAGCATTATTTTTAAATTCTTGTAATTCTCAGATCATATTCCCACAAAACAAACTAAAACAAACTATTCAGTGTAATTGAAGAAGATAGTTTGCAAATCTGTTTTTAAGATTAGCCAGGTTTTCCAGAAATAATTTCCTTTGCCACCTGACTTTAAATTTCTGCATTTTCATTCCTAGATCTTTATACACTGCTGCTGGAGGACATTCTTGTACTGCTGCAAAAGCAGGATGACAGGCTGGTGCTAAGGTGCCACAGCAAGATTCTGGCATCCACAGCTGACAGCAAACACACTTTCAGCCCTGTCATTAAGCTGAGCACAGTGCTGGTTCGACAGGTGGCCACAGGTGAGGAGTGTGTCTACTGAAGGACGGGAGCTTCTGAGTCACTGTGAAGTGGTGCAGGGTCTTCAGGTGTTTAAGCAGCACAGTCGACACCAATGGTTTTCTTCGTATGTGTAGGAAATTTGAATGAAATTTGTCTATTGTTTAGGTATTGAATTGAAATTTTACACCTTCAAATTATTTAAGGCAGCAAGGTTGTTTCAGTGGTTTCCTGCACTTGAAAATTTAAGTATGCTTACCTTACTTTGATGTTTGCTCTACATTCAGATTGGTGGTAGATAGCAGAAAAGGTGTGCATGCTTTGAGGGTAACCCCAGTGAGAAGGCTGTCATTAAAACGCTGTGTTTGTGTGTTGGGGAGAAAATTGAAAATTGAAGAGGTGGATAAATGTATTTCTTGTTTTAGTTTACTCTTATTATTTTGTGTGCGGGTGTTTTGGCCGCACATATGTCTGCGCATCACATGCGAGCCTGATGCCCTTGGAGGCCAGAAGGCATCAGATTCCCCTAGAACTGGAGTTATAGATGGTTCTGAGATGCCGTTTGGGTGCTGAGACCCAGGGCTTTTAATTATTGAACCATCTCTCCAGCCCTGAATATTTTTTTTTTCATCAGCTTAGGTTGGCAAGCTATAGTTTAACTGTATTATGATGAGCTCCTTTAAAATGTAATTTTATTTTATATAAAGTTAAAATATATTTAAACTTTTTTGTTTTTTATAAGTTCCATAAATGCTTATAGTAAGTTGCATAATATTTGTAAACCCTTTCTGCAGTGTTCTCCAAATACTTTTAACACTGTAGAAATATAGCAGTTTAAAATAAATTTGAAAGGAATAGCATTGGGTTCAGCAGTATAGGGGGTGTGTGTATAGAATCATAGGCTTGTTAGAACTCCAAAGCACATTCCATTTGGACAGGTCACCACGTTTATAAGATAGCACTTCTGAAAAACCAATTATTTTATGTTTAAGAATTTCATGTATGTATATAATATAAAATTTGATTAAATCCTCTCTATTTTCTCTCCTACTTTTCTCCCTATCCCCTCCCTTACTTTTCTGTTCCAACATAATATGTTCTCTCTCTTTTTTAACCCACTGAGTCCAAGTAATTTGAATTTTGACTTACTTTTGTTTCTAATTAAGTACTGTGTTGACTTTTATAAACATTGTTTATTTAAGTTATAGATAATGTAGCTTATAGTAATTTGTACAAAATTTAAATTTATAAAGTTTTTCAAAGTGAATATATGTAACATTTATCTAAATTAAGATACAGAATATTAAAATCTGCATTTGGAAATATCTCATGGTTTTCTTGGTCACAGTGGTAGAGTGAATTTTGTTATTTTGTTTTCTTCTTTTCTAGATAACAAAGCCTTATTTGTCATCTCTATGTCAGATAATGGAGCCCAAATTTATGAATTGGTAGCACAGACAGTTTCTGAAAAGACAGTGTATGTATGAGATCTAATTACCTTTTTAAAATTGATATTGTATTATCCACGGTATAAATGTTTCACAAACTTTGTTTTTTTAAGACTTACTTCATTGTGTGTGTGTGTGTGTGTGTGTGTGTGTGTGTGTGTGTGTGTCTGTGCACATGTGTGCAGGTGCCTGCAGAAGCCAGAATTGGGTATCAACTTCCCAGAGCTGATGTTACAGTGCTTGTAAGCTGCCTTGGGTAGGTGTTGGGAACTGAACATCTGTCTTCTCGAAGAACCATGGGTGCCCTAACTGCTGAGCTGACTCTCCAGCTCACAGACTTGCTTTCATAATAGGATTCTGAAAACCACTATAGAAATCAAGTACTTCCGCTTGTACACTTTTGGGAACATTCCTCTAAGAATTGGTTTCTTTTGAGATTGAAGTTTTTATTTTCATTTTATGCTACTAAAAGTAAATTTTCTTGAGGAAAAAAAATCTCAGAAGTGCCAAGTTAATCTTTTAAATGGGTAATGTGCTCATGGTAGATTTTTCTTTAAAGTATATTTTAGAATTTCTGAGGAGTGGTGCCACAATAAAGATGTTCTCTGGTGGCATAGGTGTCTCGTCTCTTTTGTTCTGGGAGTAATTACGGCTGTTTCTGCTTTCCTCTTGTGTTCTGGATCCCTTTCACACCCCTGAAGCTGGCAGGACCTCATCTGTCGAATGGCAGCATCTGTGAAGGAGCAGTCCACAAAGCCAATCCCCCTCCCACAGTCACCACCGTGCGAGTAAGTGCCCCCATACTCTTGTCAGGAAGATACGAGCAGCTCCTCACCTAAGTGCCATCAAATTTGGGCATCTTCTGAAGCTTAGGAATTGTTTGTTTCTTTTCTGCAGAGGAGACAATGATGAAGAAGAACCATCCAAGTTAAAAGTGGAGCACCACGGTCTTTCAGTTGCTGGTCTGCAGAGTCCAGGTAAGCTTCCCAGACAGTAAGAAGGATAAAGCGTGTTACCCACTGAGAGGAAGGCTCTGTACCTGCCCAGCCATGTACATCGCAGATGCTGCCTGTGAGCCCTCTGTGTGCCAGTGCAGCACTGCTCTGTGCTGTGCGCCTTCCCCAGTGCATTCACTGTAGCTTATGTGGGTTACCTCTGGCCCCAACATCAATGTTCCGTGTTGAAAATGAAATGTCTGTTAAAGTATACTCTACCTTTTCTGTTCCACTGGACAGACAGAGTTTTGGGATTAGAATCTCCCTTAATTTCATCAAAACCTCAGTCCCATTCACTGAGGACCCCTGGCAAATCAGAAGCAGAACATCTCTTTGTGACCACTACACAATTTGCAAAGGAGCAGCATGCAAATGGGACACTCAAGGAAGGTGATGGTGTTTACCCAGTTACAGTCCCAGATCCACACTTGCCTGTGTCAGAGGAGCGCTGGGCGTTGGATGCACTGAGAAATTGTGAGTTTTATTCACAGCTCTTGGAGATACTGAGTACCAGGGCTGTGTGATGTATTGGAAAGCCTTTTAGAGAGAAAAAGCAATAGATTTTTGTGAAAAATATACCAGTCTAAACTATGATTGTTTTTGTTTTTGTTTTTCCCTCGTCAAGAAATTTATGGTCCAGTTGAGAAAATCATCAGAAACCCCACTGACACTTTTTAAAAGCAAACATTCTAGGAATGTTCAAAGGTGTCTAGGTTGGCGTGGTCAGAGAAGGGAAGCAGCAGATAGAAAGGCAGATGTGCCTGTTATCTTGAGAATGATTAATATGGAAATAAATGTGTAGAGTAGAACAATTCAAAGATGATGGTAGGACCAGGTGCACACGCAGCAACCACGGGGTGCCCAGGGGTCAGTGAGCAGAACAGCGGGCCCGTGTGGGCTGTGTCAGCCATTGCGGGCTGTGTCAGCTGGAGGAAACAGAAACAGGAAACAGACTGAGGAATCAAGAAGATGGGCTGAGGAGTCTCACTGTCGTGAATTTTAAATACCAGACTGCACCTTCCATATTTGATGGGCAGACATCGCAGAATTTTAGGAGCTTTTTCTTATTATACACGCTTTACATTTGTGTGGAGATTTAATATTCTTCATAATGGCTTCTAATATGCATGTGTTCATGGGTGTGCACACGTACACACACACAAGCACACATACACCACCCTGTTTGCTGCCGCTCCCCAGCTTCAGCCTTGTTGGGAACCACTATTGCAGATGGGACGACCCCACATCTCTCAGGCACAGTGAGGTGGAGAAAGTCCAAGAATAGTTGCTTCAGGTACAGAGAACCATGTGAGGTTTTAAAGCTAGGTATGATGGACAAAGCTTAAAAATCTGTCTTAAGGCTGCTCAGGGATTTCGATGAAAAAAGGCATGGAGTGGCGCCCTTACCAAGTCAGCTGTTAACAGCCATTAAGCTCAGAGTTGACCGGGTTGAGAATAGAATAAGTGCTAATAAGTGAGTCAGGAGTCTTAGAACACTTGACTTCTGTGGATGTGAGGCAAAGGAAAGGGGATTTCTAGTGACAGTTTCAGTGCTTTTCTGAGAATCAAGAGCTGCACAGACCACTGGGCCTCCCCGCCTCTGGCCTTTTCCTCTACTGTTCAGACTACGTGCTTCACCTTAAAACATCATGGTCCAGACAGGGAGTGGCAAGCCATCTCAGGAGGGATGGTTGTGGGAGGTGGCGTTTTAGGGCTGGCATTTTGGGGAGAGATCAGGTGCTTGAGAAAGGGAAAGATTTTCTTAGACCTGATCTCTTTATTGGAGATGCAGAGGGGAAGCCTGTGGTGGAATCAGGAAGTTGTAGTTATTAAAAATCTCATTTATTCTTGATTCTCCTGAAGTGACAGACTTAGTGATGTCTGGTAGTTTAATGGCATGGCTCTAGAACTGTCTTCACCTGCATGAGTTTGGCATACGCTTAGCCTAGGGGTCAATTGGATCTTTTATCATCCTAAAGAAGCTGTGCCACTAGTAAGGTAATTTAAAAAAATTTTAATGAATGCTTACTTTTGAACATACATATACTACTACCAAATGATTGTAATTGAAGTTTATTATACAATTGTATTGCTGTCATCATTATGAGGATTATTAGAAAAAGATAATGGCTATACATAGTCTACTCTTGAGAAGAAAAAGCATAATCTTTAGCTTTGCTGGCCTAGCTAAAGCAGAGTTGGTGCCTGGTGTTAAGTGTATTTAGGACTTTTAAATAGGAAGACCCCCTATTCAGAATGCTCAACTCTGGTCAGGTGTAGTATAATTTGGCTGTTATATAGAATGTCATATTTTTTATTGCATTTTTCAAGACAAAATTGATTGTATAGGATTAATATCTTGGTTGTGTATTATTAAGGTATGATCTTGGTTTTAGAGGGGACTGGAAATTCAGCTGCCTGATTTCACCTGGCATTGAGGCTGTGGTAGTTAATTTCCCCTTCTTTTTTCCTCCTTTTGCCCTGACTCTTCAGTGGGCTTGTTGAAGCAGTTGCTGGTCCAGCAGTTAGGTCTCACTGAGAAGAGCACTCGGGATGACTGGCAGTCCTTCTCAAGATATGGGCCAGCTTCTGAAGAGCTACAGGCAGACAGTGGCATCCAGGACTCTGAAAATGTTAAGGCTTGTCATGCCGGGGAAGGACAGATGCTTTTTAAAACTGGAACTGGTGACGTTACAATTTGTGACAGTCCACGGACTTCAACTGAATCTTGTGGTGCACAGGATTCAGTGATACTGGCATCCCAAGACAGCCAGGCAAGTAACATTTTAGTAATGGACCACATGATCCTGACCCCAGAGATGCCTACTGCAGAGCCAGAAGGGGTTCTGGATGACAGTGGAGAGCACTTTTTTGATGCCCGTGAAGCACATAGTGATGATAATCCATCAGAAGGTGATGGAGCAGTTAAAAAGGAAGAGAAGGATGTTAATTTACGCATCTCAGGCAAGTGGCTTCCACATTTCAACTTTGATTCTGATTATTGTAAAATGTCTTCTATGCTGGAATGGATGTTTTGGTATCTAAGTTTGTGTGTGTATGTGTGCAGTGTTTATTCCTTCATACAGTAAATACTGAATCTATTCTCTGCCAGACCCTGTCATAGGGGCTAGAAGATTGTATAGTGAAAAAATGCCAGAAATTTCATTGTTCCTAAGAAGCCTAAGTGCCTGAAGGGAAAGAATTATGGTAAATAAGAAAGCAAATGGTAAAGGTCAGATGGTCAGAAGCATTAGGAAGCAAATAAAGCCAGCTGCAGCCAGGGTAGAGAGTAGAGAGAGCAGATGTAGTGGTGATCAGTCTAAGCAGAAACCGAAGTGCAGGGAAAGGCCACGTGGATTCCTGGGTATGGTGCTCAGCGGTGAGCACAAGCACACCATACTTTGTAGTTAGGGGATGCAGGGTGGGAGGAAGCGACAGGAGCCCAGGAAGGGGTATTTGGCAGGTAGTCAGGTTGTCATGTAAGGACTTTGTGATTTAAGCTTTAAACTCTGGAAACTCTGACTAATATGAAGTTATTCAGAAACTAATATGAAAGTTTGCTAAGCTTGGCTTTAATCCGAAATAAATTCTGGTGGAGTTAAAACTAAACGTGGGAGCTGATGGTTCCCCCACCATAGTAGCTTTTCAAGTTGTCATATGACCCCGTTCTGATGCCAGTGCTAATCTCATCAAACTGACCTGTCTCCACCTATAGGAAACTGTTTGATCCTTGATGACTATGATGCAGTGCAGGAGAGCTCCACAGATGAGGAGGTTGCCTCCTCGTTCACCCTGCAGCCTGTGACAGGCATCCCTTCAGTGGACTCCACCCACCAGCAACAACATTCCCCTCAGAATGCTCATTCTGATGGGGCAGTTTCACCATTCACCCCAGAATTCCTGGTCCAGCGACGCTGGAGAGCTATGGAGGATGCTTGTTTTGAGATCCGGAGTCCCTCTTCTTGTACAGATTCTCAAAGCCAAATCCTGGAGTACATTCATAAAATAGAGGCTGACCTTGAACATTTAAAGGTATGCCACGTTTCAGCCTCCATAGCACTTGATCCTAAGTACACAGGTAGCAGAGTACAAGTTTGGAATGATGGAATCCTGGTGTCCACCGACAGTCCAGGTTCTATATCTATTTTTATTTTCTTTAATCACTAATCATGAATAGGCCTGGGTAAGAGCTGCTGTTCACATTGGTTGTCTTGTGACAGATTACAAGAACGGGAACAATTGTAGGTTTGTAGCTAGCTACGTTTGATGGTGGTGGTGGGGTTCTAACTTTTAGGAACTAGAAGTACTTGGGACAATTGGTCCATCTTGTAGGATGACATGGGGTCAGATAGGTGCGCTTGCATGGTTGTGAATCAGGCCAGGAAACACTGTGACCTGCTGTAGCTTGTTAGTTATATGTGACTCAAAAAGTAGTGTTGGTAGTTTCCCAGAGGCTGTGACAGGGAGAAATGGACTCCAGTGGCTTTTGTTACTCAGTGAAGCTTTGCAAATTGGTAGGGAAAGACATCACCATGCTGGTTTCTATGAAAGGACTCTTTTGTTTTATTTTTTGTTTCTTGAGACAGGATTTCTCTATGTATCCTTGGCTGTCCTGGAACTCACTCTGTAGACCAGGCTAGTTTCTCAGAGATTTGCCTGCCTCTGCTTCCCTGAGTGCTGGGATTAAAGGTGTGCCCCACCACTGCCTGGCTGAAAAGAAATTATTTTCATATAATATATTTTGAACATAGTTCCCCTTCTCCTAACTTCTCCCAGATCCTCCCTGCCCCACCATCCATCCAACTCCATACCTTTTCCCTCTCTCTCTTTCTCTCTTTACAAAACAAGCAGGCAAATTAAAAAATAAAACAAAAGGAAAACAAATCAACCAGAATAAAACAAAACAATAAACAACAAAAAAAAAGAAAAAACATGAAAAACAGGTACACACAAACACAGATAGACAAACACACATAGACACACACACGCAGACAAAACCCATAACATCCCAAAATTGGAAACCGTATGTGTAAGCGGAAGAACAGTAAGGTAAAGACGTTGGCACTGGGTAGACACAGCTGCTAGAGCTCATCCTTTTTTTTTTTTTCATGACATTTAGTTGGGAGATACGGTGTTCTTAGCTCAAGACCTGTCTCCCTTGGTTTTTCTTTCAGCTCCACATAATAGAATTTTTTTTTTTAATTTAATTTCACGTACTGTCATTATGTGGCTAGCAAGGCAAGCGTATCTAAGAGGCCTCTGTGTTCATCTGTCACATGGTATGGGGCCGTTTTCTGGGTGACGTCCTTTACTGGGGGGCGACCACCTTTCCTTGCTCCTTGAGTGTTTCACACAGAAAGGTGGTCACTCAGCCAAAGGGAGTGTGCTTCCTTCCTCACTAGCAGCCTCTTTGGTGGTCAGCGGTAATGGTGAAATTGGGGGCCGTGGACCTAGAACACAGAGTACCTTTATTCCCATTTTCAACTAAATTTTATTTTTCTTGTGCCATCCCCATGAAAAATCTTTGCTGTTACAGAAGGTGGAAGAAAGTTATACCCTTCTTTGCCAAAGGCTGGCTGGCTCAGCCCTCCCTGACAAGCTCTCAGGTACGTAACATGGTGGGCTCATCCTGCCTAACACTATACTGGATATGTGATTTATTATTCTTCCACATGAAAACCTATGATTTCATTTCTGTCCTGTCCTTAAAAAGCACTTGTTTCTAAGCATCTTGTGTCTATAAGTCTGCTGACTCTGCCCTTCCTGCTCTCGGAAGAGCTGTGGTTGGTCCCTGTGCCAGCTGATTCTCTCTCTGCAGCTTCTCCAGGCTGAAGAGTGGAGGGAAGCTGGCAACCCAAAACTCACTAGAGCCTGAGCTGCGCTGCTGCTATGGCTGCAGCTCCTGCTCCCTCATGAGGAGTCCTGCCATATAAGGGCTTATGTGGCCCTTGGCTACAGCTAAGCCTGTGTTCAGTGTGCAAGGTCATACTTAGTGGCTTGTGCAGTTTGAGGTTATATTTCCTGATGTCAAACTGAACAAGACTCTGCCTGTGGTTTGCATACATGTTCTTTGCAATGTTAATTTGCTCTTAACTGAGTTTCTACGTCTTCATTCTTCTCAGATAAAAGTTAGAGCCCCGTGTCCTGGAGGTGACTGCAGGTTGTTGGATTTTGAGTGTTGACCCTGTATCAACCACATCCCGGCTCCAGTGTGGACACAGAGAGAGTGTGACAGAGGATCTGCCTGGAACCACCTGGGCTCAGCCGTGCCCCAGGGTGCCCCACGTGGGACTAGTTCTTCAGTCTGGCAGCTGCACAAGTCTGTCAGTGAGGGAATGTCAGTTCTCTCACTCTCCTCTCCTCACTATCAGAAATGCATTTTGATTCAGAATAAAAACCAAATGTATAGAGCTTTGGGTGTAGGATATGAAATTGTATGTAGGTAAGAAAAAGAGAAAATCAGATGTATTTATTTGACTTCATTCCGTATTTGAAAGCACACTTTAATTTTTACTTTGCCTTGTTTTGTTTTAATTGAGTAGTGAGAGTTTTTCCCTTTGTATTTAGCACACCCAAGAATCAACTGTTTCTGAGGCTAAGGTCAGGCAGGGGTGGGGAGGTTAGTAGACAGGCAATGCAGAAGAGGAGAGAGGAGTGCCTGGCTTCACTAACCCTAACCCAGCCCTTCTGTGCAGAAGGCTGCCTTCTGAGGGTCATCTCAGAGGTGCTGCATGACTCCTGTGTGCGGATGACAGAGCTGTGTGCTGTCCGGGTGCTCAGAGCAGGTGGACCTCCTCCTACCCTGCGGCCAGCATCTTGTCCTGGGTCCTACCCCAGTTAACAGGAATCCTCAGTACTCTAAATGGCAGGCACTTGAACATGGGTGTATTTCCTTTGTTGTCTTTTCTATTGGTAGTTGGGATCTGGGAGAGAAGAAAACAAATTTTTATTTTCTTGATTATAAATTTGTTATTCTTGGTATTGTTGCATTTGTATAATTATACATTGGCACTTGTATGAAATATCCCCTGCAGAGTGAGCAGGAAATAGGAACAAAGAGATGGAATGCTTCAGTGGTGGTGGGGTGCTGTGGAGGGGTGGGGTGGGGTGGGAGAAGAATCTGAGAAGGTTTTCGAAACTGAATCACTACTGAGTTGAACCATGGCTGTCACTAGCCACGGGTACTGCTGATGATAAGGCCAGTAAAAACTAGTACCTGGACGGTTGACTCTAATTGTTTGCACTGATGGTGCCAAAGGGCTCTGAGTTACACACAGAGCCGAGGGAGGGCAGAGGAAGGCAGGAAGGAGAGTCGCTTGCATCACATCACTGCAGAGTGCTTTCTCTGACCTCACTGCCACAGCCCTGTCTTCATGGCGCTGGGACTGGCTTTGGGAACAGGGACCAGAGGTGAGCAGTGCAGACACCCAGGTGCTGGTGATAGCTGCAATGTGGGCAGCACCTATGGGGTTAAGCTAGTCAGAACTGTGCCCTGAGAACTCCTTAATTCTGTTGCCCTTCACTGGTTTTCTTTGTGCATTTGGTAAATATATTTTTGGACTGTTCTGTTAAAAAAAATTTTGTCAAATCTAAATTCTGTTAATAAACAAGGAGTTCGTGTGTTGTGCACATCTTGCAGGAGGGCCCTCTGAACTGTGGGGGGCAGTTAGGATGTAGTTTATCCTCCCCTCATGTTCCTCACACACAGAGGAAGCTGTCACCCAGGGTGGTCCCCAGCTGCTTTTACGAACACCTCCACAACTTAACGTGCTCATCTGTCTGGGTCCGTATTCCTGTTTCTGCCCTTGAGAACTATACGTCTTGTAGGTCAATCCACTTGGATCCCTGTACCTCATCTACAAATGGGAATTGTATTTTGAGTCATAGGTCAATCATAACTCAAAATGGGCTTTGAAATTTTGAAGTAGAACCTAATATATAAGTGAAGACCAAATGGTTACGTTGTCTTCCAGGCAGCCTCTTAACACTAACTACATCATCAGGAGATCCAGACGGCAGTGTTCTGGCTTCAGACACTCAGTCCTTCCCTGGCTCTCTAGCACAGCTCAGCCTGAACTCTCTTCTGTTGTTTGCTTCCCTTTCCTGTCAGAGTTACAGCAGGGCTAACTGGAAAGGTACTTTGGCATTGCTCCAGTACTTCCAAATAAATGCATATCATTATATCTTCAGATGAAACCTCAAAATGAAGTGACTTCTGGAAAACAAAAACAAACCACTTTTTGAGAGTTCTTTTTTTTTTTTTTTTTTAAATCTTAACAGCCTTACTTCTTGCCTGCACCCTCCCTCTCTGGCCTCCCGTGCCTTCCATTTCATTTAGGCCATCAGAATCACATCCCTTTGGCTTTGACATTACATTTCCCTTCCCTGGTGGTGACAGCAGGTATTCCTCCTGTTCTGGAACAAGGTGGTCATTGTCATAGTTCTCTCAAAGAAAGTGCAAAGTGCTTCAGCTCTGAAGAGTACTAGGCAAGCGAAGGGGCTCAGCATTTTCTGCAGAGCCAGAAAGCTATGTGTGCTGTGGGTACAGCCCATGACACTGCTCTCTCCTGAGCTTAGTGGCTCTCCTGTCACTAAGTGGCAGATTACATGTGGAGTATCTCCCTTTCTGAGAAGAGACCCGATCAAGCCAAACGGTAAACCCTGCAAGTACTGTAATTTAAAGAATGGCTTTGGCCTTCGCCATGTATAGTTTCAAAGCAGCTAAGTGGACTCTTGGAGTTCAGCTGCTCTCACAGCCTAAATTTTAACTATTTATTGTATCACATGGCAAGTTATTTCATGAGTATTTTTGCCTTTGTTTTTCCCAAGCAATTTCTAATGGCCTCTAGAAAAAAAACAAGCCCCCTTTTAGAAAGTGTTTTGTCTTTTTGTCTTTTGGGGAGGGAAGAAGAGAAAAGTTTACTTTGCCTGATTTTTTGAATCAAAAAGCTTTAAGTATGCCTCCTATGATGCAGCCAGTCACTTTCCACCCTGCCCGGCACTGGCGATGGTCTGCCGCCTGACACCCATGCTCCGCCCAGTCTGCTGCAGCTGGTGTGGGGTATGGCTTGGAGCCACACAGGCTTGCTCTGGACATCCTTCCCTCCATGTCGCAGAAGGCACCCTGGGACCTTAAACGACCAAGTTTAAGACCTTGCAGAAGTTTCTGTTTTGTAGATCATGGTTTCATTGGTTTGACATTTCACCCTCGTTTAGCGTGGTCTGTAAAATTGTTCTTTCTTTAAGAAAGGAGCTCTCTTGTTCTGTTTGCCTTCCCCATGGGTACTGAGGGTTTGGATCATACATTTATCAGGAAAAGGGGGCCTCCTCAAAACCAGTCCCTTCCAGCCGTTTCCAGGTGCCACCCGCTAAGCAGACGTACAGCATGGCGACCGTAGTGTGCACGCTGTTGGTGGTTTTGAATGGGCCTCTTCCCACTAGGATGTCTCACTTTCCTGGTTCACCATACAATCATGTGCTCTTTAACAGAAATCGCTTTTAAGAGAAATCTGGAACTATCTTAAAAAAAAAAAACCTTATTAATAATCATGTATTTTTACTGATCACATTTTGAAATGCCTAAAAGACTTTATTGCTCTAATTATCCAGATGCACCTTTGTAAAAAAAGCTCTTTTATGAATTAGCTGATAAGGCTGTCTGTTTCTGGAACAAAATATTGGGTCATCTAAAACTTTCTGTTTTCTGGGGTCTGGGAAAATAGAAAATAAGAGTTCAAATATTAAATAAGCTTAAAAGAACCGAGCATGTGGCTTTTTCTTTGTATGTATTCCTACCAATTTGACTTCTGCCAGTTGTTGTTTTTGAGGTGGGGTCTCATCATAGGCTGGCCTCAACTGAGCTCTTCCTGCCTTTACCTCCCAAGTGCTGAGATCACAGGTGTTCACCACCACACCTGTCTGTCAAGTTATTTTAAAGACATTCAGTCAACAAGGAGCCAGTAACTCATCTTCCTGCCAGGGACACTCGAGCCCTTCCTCCTGCTGGTGGCTCCTTCACTGTGGAGACCCTGTGGAGACTAGTCTTGTGGTCCCTGTGAAGTGTGACCCTCCATAGCAGTACGAGCAGCTGCCATTGCCCGAGAAACGAGGCAGCCTTGTCCCTGGCTTTTGAATTAGTGTTGGGTTAGGCATGGCCACACATAGATTAGACACATAGATTAGACACCAGTGCTCTAATCCTGGCCCTGAAGCTGAGGAAGGCAGATCCCTTGAGTTTAGGACCAGCCTGGTCTGCATAGTCAGTTCCTGGCCAGCCAGGGCTACATAGTGGGAACCTGTACTTTGTTTTGTTTTAGCTTTAACCTGTGGGTTTTTTTTTTGTTTTTTTTTTTTTTTTTGGTATAGCATTACTTTAAAGAAAACTTGGTATGACACATTCCTTTTTCTGTTTTCATCACTTTTAAGTGGAGAGATGCGTGTGCCAGCTCTTGTGGCACACTTGGAGAAAGTGATTTGCTGCCTACGTGAAGAGACATTGTCTTCTGTCCTTCCTGCCCAGCACTGGTTCCCTCAGGAGGAGTGGTTCTGATTGTTTGTGGATGCCATTCATCCAGAACGCTGCTGACCTACTCTGGTGTTCTGTGTATTTTGACCTGGAGGTGTATAATTTCACTCATCCTTGGCATAGTGGTTTAATTCTCAAACATCCTGGGGTGCGTTGGTTGAAAAGCCTGTTAAGATGCTTAATAAAACCTGATGAGTATTTTGGAATATATTTCAGTTAAAACCTTTTAGAAATTAGAGAAATTCTCCCAAGGTGGCTGCACTCTAAGCCCAATTAACAACATGTCCTGCCTTTCCAGAGGACTAGAGTTGGGTTCCCCGGTGCTTATCACCATCTGTAACTCCAGCTCCAGGGGATCTGGCTGGCACCTGTGTTCTCGTCCTACTTGTCTTAAGAAAGTAATTGTTGACTCCTTGACATAGCTAAGAGGTACACAGGCCACACAGCGCCATCAGTCCCCACCCCTTGTCCTTGTCAAGTGATCTTGACTAGGCTGCCGTCTGGGTTTGCATTTTCTCACATGGATTCAATATAGGATATTGAGTCAAAAGCCAATTTATTATACATTCAAAGAAGATCACTCTTACAGGTAAGGTGACAAACTATGTAAAGGTATTAAAATTCCACACAGACCTCTCCTTATGAAAAACAAATTACAAAATTACCAAATTTCATTTGTGTGACCTCACACAGGGTTTTGAGACTCCATCTCAAGCTCAAACCCAATAAACAAGCCTCAAACAAAAACACCTTAAAGACAATAGACTAGTATACATAATCAGAACACAAATGCACAAAGATGATGGCTGGGCTCGGGGGATGGCTTGGATTAAGCAGTTGCTGGCCAGGTATGCAGACCAAAGTGAATTAGCAGTCTACTTAAAATTTCAACCTCAGGCAGAGACGGTATTTCGTAGCGAACTGACTAGCTAGATTAGCCATCTCACAGCTCTGGGTTTGGCCGAGAGCCCCTGCTGCAGGGAATAAGGTAGAGGAATGACTGAAGATCATTGTGCCTTTTGAGCTCCACATGCAATGCACTCGTTCTTGATAGAACACATACAGGAAAATGGGAAAAGGAAACCATGGTGACACCCCCCCCCAATGATATTTTGTATCTTTTTTAAAAATGTGTATATGTCTGTGTTCATATGTGCAGTGCATACGTGTGTGTAGACACCAGAGGACAACCCCAGGTGTCATAAGCTGTCCAATCTCCTTTGAGACAGTCTCTCTCCAGCCTAGAACTCAGCAATCCTCCTGTCCTAAACTGGGATTACAAGAGTGTACCACCACGATGGCTCTTATATCCCAGAATGTAGCTCATATGCTTAGCAAAGTAATGGATTTTCCTTTACACTTGAAATTTAAAGTTTATTGATGGGAAGAAAATATACACACAACTGGAAAAGGTAATGACAGTTAAGTGTAAACCTATAGGGTAATTTTATTTTTAAAAGAATCTATAGTTTATACCAGGCATAGTGTCACATACTTTTAATCCCAGCACCAGGGAGAAAGGGGCAGGTGAATCTGTAGGCTCAAGGCCATCATGGTCTACATAGTGAGTTTCAGAACAGGCAGGACTTACATAGAGCCTGTCTCAAATTTAAAAAGCAATAAAATCCGGTAGGCTCACAAACATGAGGACCGGAGTTATTTCCCAGGCACTCATGTGGAAGGCAGGCAGGGGAGTGGAGGAAGAGCTGAGCATCAGCTGAAGAGAGACAATGAAGTCCCGTCTCCATTCTGCCTCTGTCCTCAGCAATGGCCTTAATGAAATGGAGGGAGTTCTCAAATGCTGAGTCCCCAGAATATGAGCTAGCTGGACTGATGAGCTGGTCAACTGATGTACTACTGTGATGATGGTTCTAGCCTGCAGAGTAAGTCCCAGAGAACTCGGAAGCTTTCATGCCATCATACATTTACAGACTTAACAGCTCAAGTGAAAAGAGGTGGGATTATTATTGTCATCATACAGAGCCTAATGTTTGCTCCTTCTGGGGGCATTTGCTTTCTAATGGGATTAGGTGGGGACGGTTCTGGATCTTTAAACATGAGTTATGATTAACTTAAATGCTCAACTTTTCCCTTCATCTCTCTTCAAAGATACATTGAGCGGAATTGCAAAATCAAGGCTGGGCAGACCTAGGAATTGGAAATAAGAATCTTGTTATCCAGAGCCAGAACAGCTGGGTAGAGGTGACTAAAGAGGCCATTGATTAATTGGCTAACTTATTCCCAGCTTTGTTCTAGAAACCATGGGCTTGCTGGGTGTTTGATGATAGCTTGAAGAAGGGATGAGGGGAAGGAAAAAGAAACATGGGCCTTGGGATCCTTGCAGTGTTTGTCACCACAGTGTTTGTCGCTGTATTTCCAGTGTAACCAGGTCATTTTTGCCAAAAGTCTCCACACTAAACACCTGCAAAACTGCTTCCTCCACTCTCCAGTCTGCTGCACACACGTTGAGTCCCAAAGACCCAGCCCTCACCATGCCGCTTCCCACCCAAGAGCCTACACAGACTCTGGTTACCGCCCTCGAGAATAAATTCCTCAGTCTCTGAGACCTGTTCCTCATTTTCTCAGGCAGCTTTATTTCCCTCCATGCCCCACTGTGACCTGTTCTGAGGGAAATCAGCCTCCTTCCCATCTCCCTGACCCGCTGTTCTAGGTCCCGACAGCCTCCCCTCTACGTCTCCCAAGGTCCAAATGCACCCATTTCCCTTCAGCTGTCCCTGTACAGCTCGAACTTTCTATTTCCTGTCACCACCAGTACCTGCCCTCTGTGCCTCCCATCTGACACCCTCATTTTAGTAATATTAGTACTTTTGAGTGCTCATTCTGTGAAAGGTAACCAGTCACTTTTTTTTGCGGGGGGGGGGGGTAGAGAACTTCAGACAGAAAATTGAAAAATGTCAGTTCCGCCTTATTGAGTATAAATTGTTTTCAGGTGCTGTGCTCTTGACAGACACCACCTGCCGTCCTCACCTGGAGGCAAAGGCATGTCACCTTTTTCACAGAGAAGGCTGCTGAGGCTGTAGTGATTATGAGGCACACCTTGACGGAAGAAGGGTGCAGGAAGTTGGATTTGTTACTGGCTGCAGAAATAGCTTCTTGCTTAAAAGTACTTAGAGTCAGTTAAGCATTCGTGCACTACACCTGTAAAGCCAGCATCCCGAAGACCATGAGTGATCATGAGGAGCATGAGGGAGTGACTAGCCTGAGCCACATAAAGACACCCTGTCTTAGAAAACACACACACACATACACACACACACACACACACACACACACACACACACACACACACACTATTCCATAAAATTCACCACTTAAAAGTGTAAAGCTCAGTGGTCATTGTATAGTATCATTTTTTTTCAACCATAATTACAATTCTAGAATATCTCCTCACCACTAACGTCCTTTCTTCTTAGCCTCTAGCAAGTCCTTTCTGTCCCTGTGGGTTTACCTATTTGTATTTCACACAGGTGGATCATATACTATGTGACCTTTCACGACTAGCTTCTCAGCATGAAGCTATTTCATGTTTCATGTATCAGCGCTCCATTCCTCTCTTTGGGCTAATACTCCATTGTATGGCTATATCACATCTTGTGCACCGTCATGTGCTGAGAAGTTCTCTGAAGTACTTGCAGCCTTGGACTTGTGTGAGCACAAGGCTCCTGGCGTGACTCCAGCTGGAACGTGTGGCTGGAGCGCTACCTGGCTCTCGAGCCGCTGCTGCCCTCTGAGGCTCCCTGGTGGACATGCCTAAGTTGACTCTCCACTTCTAACTGAACTTCACGGTGGCCAGAGCTGAACTGTGTCTCCCTTCAGGACCTCTCTCCCCAAGGCACTTCCAGCAAGATCAACCGCTTGGGTTTGCAAATTAGTTCCAGCCTCTTCCTCTTCTCTGAGTTGCGCTTTCCTCTGCGCCGATGGCTGTGGATTGCTTGTTATGTCACTTTTCATTTCATCCCTTTGCCAAGTTTAAGGCTCTGGTTTGGCTGTCACAGTAACCTTCCACGGGCCGCCTCTTTCCTCTCCTTTCTGTTCTGTCCTGCTCAGGTGGTCCTCCTAAAGTCTAGCTATGCCCTTCCAGAGATCAGATGCCTGGCATGAGGAAGAACCTTGTCAGGATTTCTACACAGTTCCAGGGGTAGATAGCTGGGAGGGAGGGAGGGAGGGAGGGAGGGAGGGAGGAAGGATGGCAGGAAACTGATGCAAATGATGA